GGCGGCTTTGCGAGCCGGGGGGGCGGTTGTTGGGGCTGGGTGTAACTCGCTGAGGGCTTAAACCGCGTGCCCTTTGTCGGTCGCTGAGTAGAAAGGCACAGTTCCACGTTTTGTGCTAATAACAGTAAAGGAGCAGCTTTAAAACCCCGTCGCTTGGCGGGATTTTTCCAGGAAAGGATCTTCTTGGAGAGCGTCCGGGGAGCGCAGCAGTGGCGTTGTGTGTTCTGCTGTAAAGCTCGTGTGCATCGGGCGTGTTAGTCAGGTACCGCTCCGGTCTCAAGCAAGCTGCCATCTTCTCAGCACACGATCTGATATTTTTGTCATAAAGGAAAAATACGTGGGGTAGTGAGGGAACCTTCTGGAAAGCAAGCTTCCGATTAAATGTTCTTTCTTTAAAATAACTTATATTTTCTTTATCTCTTTTTTTCCCAGATATAAGCATCTCTGCATCATCGTCTCTACACAGCAAAGGGAATATTTCCTTGTTGGGAAATAGGAAGCTCTTTTTTGACACTCATGCGCTGGTGTGCCTCTTGGAAGAAAACGGTAATTTGCTAGAAACAAGTAGCCACTTTTAAGGTCATTTCACGTGTTGTTTGTTTTACAAATTTTGTTACTTCTTTACATGTGATGTTACAGCTTCATTTTTACGATTTTTTTTTTTTTTTAACCTACTGGTTAAGAACATGCAAGTTTTTTCTACTTCCAAAAGGAAATAGTAAGCTTATGTAACTGATTGGAATAAGTTATTATCCTATTGGTTATTAAAAATACTAAAGAAAAATTAAATTTTAAGAATTGAAAGTAAAAAAAACGTTTTCAAGGAGTGGTTTAAAATGTATTAATGGAATTCCTGCGTGTTTAGTATGTAGCACCTTGAATAGGCAACAATGTGCTGTAATAGGATCGAATGTGCACTACTATGTAAAATGCAGATTTGGGGATACAATGTAGAATACTATATATGGCGGTTCTTATGATGAAACTTTGATAAGGGAATAGATTATTTTGGATTCATGCTGATGTTGCTGACATGGGGAAGGTACCCTAAAGTGAAGTTCAGTACAGCTGAATTGACTTCTGATAGCTCTCCATCCCTGAAAAGGAGATGTCCCGGTTCCTTTTCCCAGCCATGGGGCTTCATCTCATTCCATGTGCCAGCCTAATTCTCAGAAAACTCTGCAGCTCTTTTGCTTGATTGGTATTGTGAGATGGCTAGTTTTAATGAGCTCACAGAGCAGTTGCAGGAGCACCAGGACACATTCAAACTGGCAGGAGGAAGGATAAGGAAAGAGAGAGGAGGTATATCTCTCCCTTTTAGTGGTGGCAAGCTGTTGTATCAGCTGACCTATTGAAAGTGACTTGCTGTCAGACCACGTATGTGCTTTCTAATGCTTAGCTGCTAGTTAGTTTGGAACAATCATGCTTTAGCAAGCGTTTCTTTTCATAGTGGTTAAATCTTGTTCATGACAGTTTTACTCCTACGTTTTGGAGTGGAAAAGTTGAGGGACGATATTTTACAATAGTTTGCAATATATACAGTTTAAAAGGTTTTTAATGGGGACTCAGAGGCTGGTAGGCCTAAAATTAGAGTGGTTAGCTCTGTTTTCAGTTGTTAAGTTTTGCACCTCTTCAGTGGTTCTGAAGATTTATAGTATACTGAAAGTTGGTATCTGCTTTTCAGGGTCAGCATTCTTGCTCACAGAAATAACCACATGTGAGAGATGACATTCCATAATACTTCTAGAAAATTTCCAGGATTTATCCTGCTGATATTGTAATAGTGCTGTACTTCAGAAGCATCTATACCATGTCACAGACATAATTTTTGGGTGGAGGAACTTGGATGTACTGACTGGTTGTGTTCTTTTGTTAGTGCTGAATCAAGAGGAGTATGTTTTATTATCTTTCATAACTGACATTAATTTTAACTTGGTGCTGAGTGTTAGCAAATGACATTTCTGTAAACTGTCTAGATTTAGGTCTGTCTCTGAACATTGTTGCATTTTGTTTTGCTCAGGGTTCACTACTCAGCAGTCAGAGGTCATTGTATCTGCATTGGTGAAGATTATGAACACCAACCTGGAAATGATTTACATGGACATGGTCACCAAAGTACAGCAGGTTAGCTCAAAGACAATGGTGGGTTGAAGTAAATCAAAACCTAGTATGCCTGCTAATGAAGTATATGTTGCTATTTATTACTGTCAAACACTGTATTTTAAAAATTTGAAGGTGAAGAACAAACATCAAATACTTACCAAAGTGCTGTGGTGGATCTTGAGATTTAGGTACTGTGAGCTGGTACGCAAACCACAGGTAGTTTTTTGGTTTCAACCTTATTGTAGCATGAAATAAAATTACTGAGAAGGCTTTTAGACAGACATAGGAGGTATTCAATGCATGGATTTGAATAGTTAGAGCTCCTACATATATTATTCTGTAAACTTGTAACAAGGAAGTACAGATTCCCTCAGTGATTTATCACTGTTATTTGGTCCTTTTTGATTTGTCTCTTTGTGTCGCAATGATATTTATATTGTATTAGAATCAAGCTGAATTTCTTGGTTTGTATAATGTTTTTAGGGCATGATTGGTGTAGTTGTATACACTGGTAACATATAGGAACATGTGTAGTTTGGATGCTAATATTGAAATCTGTCTCCTTTTCCTTTGATGCATACCTTGTTCATGTTATCCTCTAAACCTACCCAGCATGTACCTCTTGGTGTGTGGAAGTGAAAAGAACTTGCTTGGAAATAAACTGATAATGCTGAGTATCTACAGAAATCCTTCCTTGCTACCAAGAAATTGTGTTCAGCTGAACTGAGTTGTTAGCTCTGACTTGTGACGGAATGATTGTTTTAATGAATAATTGTGTCTGGAGGCAAGGCTTGTTCTAATACTGGCTGTGATTTTTTTGGAGGCCCTTAGTCAGGTCATACAAAGGTAGATCCATGTAAGGAATTGGATGTGATGGTGTTGAATGGTGCCATGTTGAGCTCTTAGGTATCTGCCTCCGGAAATGAAACTGAAACTCAGAGACATGATTCACTGCATGTGGAAATTAAGCATCTTTGAATGGGATTCACAATACCTGGTATGCTGGAATTCCCTTACTTGTAAGCTAGACAAATAGACAGTGCTGACAAGGAGCACAGCTGAAGTACAACTTCTTGGGCCGCTTAGTGAGGCTGGGTCTCACTGCCTCAAGTCACCTTGTGAACAGAGACTTATTTCATAGTAATAAGGCTATTATTTGTATTATGTCTTAAAACATGAGAAAACAGCAGCTGCTGTCTCTCTAATAGAATGGTCTTGGCAGTAGGGCATCCATTAAGAAGCGGAATACCTGGATTTTGCACCGCCTTCCATCTAGGGAGGCTTCAGCTCATCTTTCCTACCTCCTAGATTCCAGGCAAGGCAGACATGAGTGAGCTTCCTCTCCCTGTGCTGAAGCTGTTCCACAGTCAATCAGAGGATGCAGCGTTAAGGGGACCCTTTCTCCCATGGTTGGTTATATTTTTCAATAAACAGTCATTGCATCTCTGCCTCCTTCTATGCCCAGCCTTTTTTGGAATGTAAGTAGACAGGTTTTCCTTTGTTGCTTCTGATGGTAGATGTTTTCTGAGACTGGTAGATTCCAAACTCAGGTGACTTTCTGCCATTAGGACTGAAATGTGCAGGTTCGTACAGCATGCTAAGACAGAAACAACTCAGGAGGTGTTTACGTTGTGAACTCTGGGCAACATGATAGTAACTGTAGTTCCTTATAGTCTTTGAATGCATAAGAGCTTGTGCAAAAGAGAATGATGAGTTGGAAGAGTATTTGGAAAGTTGTGGATGTAGCTATTACCATTAGGCCCTAGTTGGGTATGTAAAAGATGAAATATTACACTGGTTAACATAAAGCCTCAGCAGAGGCGGGGAAAGTGTGTGTATGTATAGAGATGAAGAAGAGAAAGAATATGGAAGAGTCTGTTCTCTGTTTTACTGAGCTCGATGAATAGAGGAGAACAAAAGCAAGCTGGAGACATCAGGGAGTAAGAGAGGAGATGTCCATGGCAGTACTCTTTTTGCAGGCTTTTTTTAACATGTCTAGTACACTGAGCTTTTTTGTTTTTTTCAGTGTTTTGGTCAGGTTGCCTGGTGAGGCATTTCCGGATGCCACTTAAAAATATAACACTAAGTTAGAAAAGCGTTTCCTGACAACGGTGAAGGTGAAGTTAGAGTGCTGTCTCAGATTTGTAGGTTCTTAGTCCAGAATCAAAAGCAAGGGGCTACTTATTAGAGGCAGATCTTCAGAGAAGGGAGTCCTTGTTTCCATGTATGGATAGTGTGTGATCCAGAGCAATGTCTAAGGCTTCTCCGTCTTTGAAAGTTGTGAGGATCCGTGTTTGTTTTCTGTCAGCTCAGTATAACAGACCGAGAAGCCCTTGCAGGAGGAGGTAATTACAAAAGAGTATGGTTGCACTGAGGGGTTGTCTGAAAGCCAGCTTTCCCGATTGAGCTCAGAGACAGCTGTCCTTAATGCCTTTGCCAGCTTAAGAATTCGAAGACTTGGAAGAAACTGTTTCCTAGGCTATTAATTGAATTATTCTGATCTGTTAGCACTGCTGATTTTTCAAACATTACCAATGTTTGAGCCCAACTTGCTTACTCTGTCACTTAATTTGTCTTGCTTTCTGAAACTTGGATAATCAATCTGAAATTGCTGAATTAAAAAGCTCAGGGTACCAAAATAGGCTATCATATTTGTAGGCACAGATGAGAAAAAGCATTATAGTTTTGATATGTTCTAATGTTTTTCTTCCCTCTTTTACAGGAAATTGCACTTCAGCAAGTAATGTCCCATATTGGTGGTGTGAAAAAGGACATGATTATTTTGGAAAAAAGTGAATTTTCAGCACTTCGTTCAGAAAATGAGGTAAAAATTACCATCTTGGAAAGTGCTATTCTAGCACTTGCTTATTTTTCCTAGTGATGTAAAGAAGTGTCTTGTATGCAAGGGCTTGGCTCTGGGGCCAGTATGGTTTAATGCCTTCATTAATGACCTTGTTGATGGGGCGGAGTGCACCCTCAAAAAGTGTGCAGGTGTTGCAAAGCTGGGAGCAGTGGCTGATATGTGAGGCGATTGTGCTGCCATTCAGAGAGACACCAACAAGCTGGGGAAATGGGATGCCAGGAATCTCAGCAAGTTGAACAAATGGAAATGCCATGTCCTGCCTGTGCAGAGGAATAGCCCCATGCACCAGGACAGGCTGGGGCTGACCAGCTGGAAGGCAACTTTGCAGAAGAGGCCCTGAGGGTCTTGGTGGACACCAAGTTGACCACGAGCCAGTGACGAGCCCTTGTGGCAAAGAAGGCCTAGAAGCCTCCTGGGCTGTGTTAGGACAGCTGCCAGTGGGTCAAGGGAGGTGATCTTCCCCTCTGCCTGGCACTGGTGAGGCGTCATCTGAAGTGCCGGGTCCAGTCCTGGGCTCCCCAGTGCACGGGAGACGTGAACATGCTGAAGAGAGTCCAACAAACGGCCACAAGTATGAGTAAGGGAGTGGAGCATCTGGCATATGAGGAAAGACTGCGAGATCTGGGACTGTTTAGCCTGGAGAAGAGAAGGCTCAGTGAGGATGTTATCAACGTATACAAATATTTGAAGGGAAGATATAAAGAAGACAGAGACAGACTCACTCTGGTGTTGTTCAGTGACAGAACAATAGATAATTGGCACAGATCGAAATGCAGGAAATTCTACTGAAACATAAGAAAACCCTTTTTACTCTAAGGGTGGTAGAACCCAGGGAGGCTGTAGAGTCCCTATCCTGGAGATACTCAAAACCGACTGGGCATGGCCTTGAACAACCTGTTCTAGCTGCCCCTGTGTCATGTTATGACACAAGGTCAGGTCGACAGAGGTCAGGGAGCAATTTGACCAGTCTACCAGCTTCCCAAGAAAGACGAGACCCTTGTACCTGACCCACCTGCCCCCATGGGCAGCCTGCTAAGTCGGAGGGTGTTCGCCTGACCTGCTCAGGGACCCTGCGAGCAGCACAATGGGCCAAATCCCTTATATTCTCTGTATCAATTAAGAAGTTTCCAGGATCTTATATATATATATGAGACAAATTTTACTGCATATGCTCGTGACAGGATACAGATTTGAAGACAGCCGGTGATAGGGACTGACTGTGAAAACACAACTTATCAATAATAATTCTAAATAGCTGCAAGATGTTAGTAACTAAGTGCTCGTAACACAGAGCTCTTACCCAATAGGCGTCCCTGATGGTGGGGAGAAGAGAGGTCCAGCCCGTTGACTGATCCCAGACGTTCCGATGGAGGTCTTCACCCAACACCCCCTTTCTCTTAAACCATTTTTATACTTTTAGATGAGGCTTGAGTGACTCTAGTCAAGCATATCTTTGTCAGGATCGGTGCAAATTTTCCTCGCTTGGATCTAAAGGTATAGACAAGAAGAAATTCAGGATGCATGCTCAGTGAGGGGTGGTCGCAGCCTGGAGGCGGGTAGCTTTTGGGATGGAGGTGTATTTTGGTATTATAATGACATTATAATGAGAAAAGTTCACCCCAACGGCCAGCCATTTGGCAACTTGTTGAATATTGACGTGCCCAATGGCCCAGGTAAATGCCTCTATCCATCACCATTGTTGAGGCGAGGGCTGCGATCCATCTTCCTTGACAGTTGTGCGGTTCCCTTTGCCAGCCATTCTTTTATCCTTGAGAACAGGGACGAGCCGTGATACCTTCGAACCACTCTGCTCCCCGTTTCAAGGACATTGCATGTTCTGTTCGGCCGGGGCAGGCCTTGGCCATGCCAACCATATTGTGTTCCTGGGAGCAGCAGCCACGCCTTGCCTCAGAGCTACTGTTAATATTACAGCTTTTGAGCTGAACTTTGCAAAGCAGTTCTCCGTTTGGGAGATGTTTCTCCATTTCCCCAATTTCAGTTATTTTCCCACACCCTTTTTACTGTAAGGGTGGTAGAACCCAGGGACGCTGGACAGTCCCTATCTTGGAGATACTCAAAACCGACTGGACGTGGCCCTTAACAACCTGCTCTAGCTGCCCCTGCTTTGAGCAGGGGATCGCTCTGGATGATCTCCAGAGGTACCTCCCAGTTCAACATTTCTGTGATTCTGTGAGCTTTCAGTTTGGTATTGTGATTTCATGTTTTGACTACACTTAGCTCAAAAGAAGGTACAGTGAGAATATAGGGCAAAAGGAGAGTCAAGACACCTGTTAAACAGTCTTAATGTTAAAGCTTCTGTAGGTTAAAGGGAGAGGAAAGGAGAATAGAGCTTGATTGGGTGCAGAAGTGTTTGTAGCTCTCAGATGAACTGAAACAGTAAGCACCATAAACTTACCCATTCTTGCTTCTAAAAAATTAGCACTTTTATTGCTATTTCTTTTGTGTCACTCAGCCACTTCCACTTTTCTCTGGGACCAATATTAAAAGAAGCCTTATGTGTCAAATGCGCAAATCTAGTTTTTGCCCTAGGAATTTTTTATCTTCTGATAATTGTTGTGAGGTCTTGGTCTTGCAGATGAGTTCAAAAAATTAGTTAAAGGTTACCTTTTTCAATTACCTTTATTTCATAAATTCGTAGCTGTAGTTAAGTGAAATGCATGAAACAAGATAGGTTAAAGAGGTCTTTATGGAGGATGGCAGGTAGTTAGTTCGTGCACAATTAAATGAAACAAAATAGATAACCTGCTTAGTAGTAAGGGAAGGCTTGCATCTTCCTGGTTGCAGATGAGTTAGAAAAGAATGGGAGGGATGAGGAGAGAAAGAGCTCCTGAATTGTGCAGCATAAATTATTATGGCCTCTTTATGACAATTTTCAGAGTCTAGTGAGAGTTAATAGAAGATGCTACAACTATACCTATTTCATGTATCTTCTGAAAGAGATAAAGTAGGAGAATAACTTGGAGTAGAAGGGACCTCTAGAGAACGTGAGGACGTTGCAGGCTGCAGTACGATTGCCAGTTAGCAGTCTCTTCTTAAGGCTGAACAAACTCTGCTCTCTCTGCCCACCCTTACCTGCCTCAACATAGTGTGCTCCAGCCCCCCATCATCTTCATGGCCCTTCACTGGATTTGCTCCAGTATAAGGTCTGTCTTTTACCAGGGAGCATAAAGCTGGATGCAGCCCTTCCAGCAGGCTCACAAGTGCTAAATACAGGGAAATATTCCCTTGGCCTGCTGGGTTTACTCTTGCTCGTACCATCCTACACCTTTGGCCACCTTCACCGCCGTGGAACGTCACTAGCTTCTGTGTTGTGCTGGTTTTTGGAAATACACAGCACTGAGTAAACATGCATGTGCATACACACGTACTGAGGACATTGAGTTAAACTGTGCTCGTCTTGCCTTGCTTTTCACATTACCCATTATAGTCATTGTTACTGGTCGAGCAAATTTGGTAGTATGTCTAGGTTGTGTTTTTATATACAGTAATAAAGTGTGTGATTTTTCTTCTACTCTCCCAGAAAATAAAACTTGAACTCCAGCAGATAAAGAAGCAAGTCATGGTAAGAAACCATACCAATATAATTTAAGAATTAACACCTGCCTAGTTTGCTTTAAATAAAAAATAGTTGTTGCTTTCAAGATTTTATTTTAAAAGTAGACCTTAATTATTGTGATGCATAGGATACTGAATTGCAGCTGATGGTACATTGTGGGCTGCAGCAAAGACAGTTTCTTGTGTATTTCATTTATGGTGACAGAGAATTATGAATGGTACAAGAGATGAAGAAATTTAATGAAGATTTTTCTTTTTTGCTTACATGCCTTTAATTCAAATTCAGAAAGTGACTAACTGCTATGTTAAGGCTCAGTGAAGTTCTGCATTTAGTGCTGCCTGTTAGATATAAAGATGCAACATACTTTTAAAATTACAGCACTTAATAATTGGTTTGGGTTTTTTTTGTTTTGTGATTTGGTTTTTTTTTGTGTTTTGAGGTTGGTTGTTTGGTTTTTTTTTTCTCTGAAGACTTACCTGTTAGCTGTCCAGAACTTCAAATAGCTTTTAAATGGCTTCTTTAGGCCAGTAAGTTTGGGACCATTGTGTTCAGTCCCATTTGTTTGGGAGCAAAAGACCTTTGCAAGGAACCAGACTCTCTGGAGAAAACTCATTCTGTTAATTATCGTATAGATTCTTACGCTTACCAAGTTTCAGCATCAGTGCTGTGTTTCTGTTCTTCATGGTTTCCTTGTACGCCAAACACCCTTCTACCATAAAACCAGGATCGTCTCAAAATCTGCTATTTCAATGGGTATGGAGTCATAAGCAGCCTTTACGCAGAAACAAACATTCTTGCAAGAGTGATTAAGATTGGAAACTGGAAAACATTAACAGTTTTTAGGGAGTATGGTCATCCGACTTGAGAACTGCTTGTTCCTGCTATGATGTCTTTCTTAGTTGGAAAAATGGAGCACTCTTCCTTCTCTAGGAAGAAGAAAACGGTCAGATTACTGGACTTGTTGAGCTAATGGACAATGTGGTCAAGCTCAGCCTAGTGCCTCCTTGCCATTTCATTCCTATTCTGATCAATTTCTTTTTGCACTGTCATCTGCAAAATAAGAACATAAATTTCTCAAGGCTAATCCTGCATTTTTTATATCGTGTTATGAAGTGCTTAATGCATCCGAGTTTTCAGAATACCGTTTTAAAATATATTCAGCATCTAATTTTTGAATTGTAACTAATTTTGTGGTTTTAGTTGCATGTAAAGGAATTAGTGTAATCCATTGGTAGAGCATCAAGAATCTGAGTCATCTTTTCTTAAAAGCTAGATTTCTCTAAATTTTACTTTTAACTGCAAATGTAATTCTCACAAAGGCAAGTTATTGTATGTTTGCGCATACTTGTTCCTCTGAAAGACAAAAAGACAATGTCGTAAAAGTTTTAACAAAAAATATTTCCGATTTTTCAGCTCATTAAACTGTAATGTATTGTGTTGTAATGACATCTAATTATAAACCAGTTAAAGTTCAAAAATTCAGACATAGAAATTGAGTCTAATTATCATTCATGCTGACTTAATGAGCTCTTGACTAGTTGACAGTGGCCTACTTGAGAGATGCTTACTTGTTTTTAATAGCAGAATCTCCCAGAACATCAGCAATCTTTTGCTTCTCCCACACATTCATCTGATCAGCAGTTTGCCTCATGACAAATTGTCAGCTGGCTGGAATTCCTGCCAGGAGGTTGTGTGAAAATGGCAGCTGTCACTGAGAAAAGCAGGAATCACTTGCAGCTATTGATGAAGTAAAATGCAAGTGTAACATTTAACAACTTACAGTAGTTTAAAAAAGTTAGATGTTTAAAAATATAATAGACATTTTAAAATATCCGTAGCTTTTTCTAAAAGCCTTAGATGTAGTCTTTAGAAACAGATTTTCTCTTACTTTCAAAAGCTAGGAAATGCTTTTAAAGTTAGTTTGAGCATCAAGATTGCTTCATGGAGGAATTCCAACTTACATGTGTACCTAGGCATGGATTTCTAGAAATTAGGGGGAGTTATAGGATATATGAAACATTCCCAGCATTTATAGAAGGATGTGCACTCCATTAACTGCTGTTTTCAGTGTTATAGTTTTAAAAGCAATTGTTTTTTATTCTGAGATCCAGTTCGTCCTATAGAACATGAGTATTTCCCAGGGGAAGAATGAGAGTGCTTATCCTTTTGAAAATTATGTTCATTAATTGGAGAGAAGCTTGATTCCTGATATATGTAAACAATGGCACAATATATTTGTCTATTTTTTTCTGCTTATGATTAAATAGAAAATCTTGCTGCTTTATAATTTTCTTTATTTTTTTTTCCCCCATTAGGATGAAATTACCAAAGTTCGTGCAGATAACAAGTTAAACCTAAACCTAGAGAAGAGCAGAGTAAAAGAATTGGTAAGTTTTGGTTTCTTTCCTCTAGAAACAGCTAAATACTGAATAATCTCCAAATTTCGGTAAGAGAATCTTACTTAAAGAGCATTTTCATATTAGTCTATAGTATTATTCAGCTTCAAGATGGTATTAATCCAAGGTATTCATCCTTATGCTGCTGTAGTACAAGGTGTCATGTTTGGTTTTGTATGTCTGTATATTTTGATATTGTCTTAATATCAGAACATTGCACTTAAATATATTATATTTTTTAATCTAAATATGCTGACTAGCTGCCCAGAGGTTTTTGATGTTAGTAGTATATCTCTTTTTCTGTTTTCACACTTAAGTTTACATGTATCATTAAATTTATTATCATTGGAGATGTTTCATTTCCCTATAGCTGGAGAGTTTATTGTGTAGCTAGTTTTTTCAGGCAGTACCTATTGTGAAAATAGTTGTAATTTATTTTTTAATTGTAACTGATACTGGTTCAGATTGTTTTGAACTTTGAAACATCTGGTAGAACTGAATTGATGTGATCTTAAATTAGGATAATGTAGATGAGGATTTAGAAGATTAACAAGTTCTTACATTACATGTAGTGCTCTAAATAGAGATCTATTTTGAATAGCTTTTAGGATCTCAGAGAAATTGCATCTTCTAAATTGGAAGATCTTTTAATGACATTTTTATTTCGTATTCAGTCCTTTTTCACAGATGTGTAATGAAGACATAATATTTATCTCCGATCTAGGCAATAAGAACTGTTCAAGTAGATATCATTTGTCTTCTCTATGTGCCCCTTGAAGTTTTGCACAATGATTAATTTAAGCAGCAGCTGTGTCAGTGATTTAGTATAATGACTAACAGTCTGTTATCCTATGACAGATGCTGGAATAAAGTACAACTTAAGCAGGTAAAATTCTTGTTTAAAGGTTAATGTTTAAAAAAAAGCATCATATAAAATGATGATTAGCTGTGTAGATCATAAGCTTTGCAATGCTTAGAGCTTACTAAACCTATTTAAAACCACTTCACCAGTGATTAGGTGTTAGTGTTTTCCTGTGTATTTATGTAGGATCCTGGAATCTGGACTCTGTCTATTGTGCAGAACACTATGTTATTTTGTCTGCCTCACAGGAAAAGCAAACGGTGCATGTCAACTTTCTCTTCAAAAAGTTGACCAACTTTGTAGTCTGTTGTGCAACTATAATTTCATATTTTTTGTGAAAACTATGGAAACTACTCTTTTTGTTTTTTCCTTCCCTCCGCTTTAATTGCTGTCTCTGCCATGCATGAACAGAAAAGGAAAAATGCAGATGAATGGGGAGCAGGTTGTAGCATATGTGCCGAGTTCGGCGTGAGACATAATCCAGTATTTTCTGTAGGAGGCAGAGCATCATTATCATATTTACTTAGGTTGTCTTGTGGCTTAGGACTGAATATCTAGCTTTATGAGAATAAAACTCAGGATAATTGAAGGTTACTGTGCATTCTTACTAAGTTACTATTCAGAAGATAAACGTCCTACATTTAAATTGATTTAACTTGAAGTTCTTATCCTTCAGTTTTGCTTGGAATAAGTACTGAAGGAGAACTTAATTTGTCAGCGCTGATGTGGACAGTCTTTAATGTTTCAGACTCTAAATACTGTATCTTTTGATTTGTTCATTCCACTTTACGTTTCTTGGAGGTTCCTACATTGCTTAATGCACATCTGTTTGTGCTGTGACTTATATCTGCAGTCATGCAGATGTGATTTTAAAACCCGAAGTACGGTACAAAATTCTACATGTATTCCTGTGTTCATGCATCACAGTGCCTCTAAGCTTGCTGGTAAAATTCTCGAGATGCATCTGACAGAACTGAATTTTCTCTGCACTGAGAAAAATGTGGACTTAAAAGGAAATCTCCCTGTTGAATTTCAGAGGGGAAGTTTTAACCTTGTCTTTCCTCCTTTTTTTCTTGCACTGGTGTTGTTATAGATGTGTGGTGATGCCTCACAGTAAAAGGGTATATTTCACTGTCTTAAACCTAGAGTTTAAAATCCTTGGGTCTAACCTAGAGAGTTCTAGCCACGAAGTAAAACTTTTAACAAATACAAACATCAAGAAAGAAGCTTGTAGAATATAAATTATTCAGAATATGTGTGTTTGGCTAACAGCATCTACTTAAAGTAAAACAAATGAACTATTTCAATCCATAAAATTGTTTAAGTATCATGGTTCTTTTGATAGCAATGATTAATTTATTAATGTGAGGTCCAATTCTTCAGTGAAATTTCACCTCAAACATAATTTTAATTATATTATTTTATAAAGATTCTGCTTCTACTGCTTTCAAAAATGTAAATTTATATAAAATGTCTTAATTTCTTTTTTTATCCCTCTCTCCATTTTGCAGAATATAGTGACTGTTTCATTATTGTAGACGTGCTGTTGTTGTTGTTATGTCATTTTCTACATTTGGAGCAGCCTGCTATCTCTTAACTTCACCAGTCAAAAGTTCAAATAGAGCTCTAGATGTTTAAGGAGGGTTTTTCAATGCCGAGGCATTTATGTAGTTTAATCTGTGTTTCATATTAAAGTGGAATAAGCTTCCAGAGTGGAGGAAAAATAAAGCGACTTTCCACATGGGAATGTCGACAGATGAGGTTATTGCTGCGTAACTGAGGATTCTGAGATGGGTGCCCGATGACCTTAATACTCTGCACTATAGACTGGCGGTTTGGCAGCTGTCTAAGAATAATTGACTTGCTCCAGTAGTGGGACAGGAACCGTTATAGATGTCAAGGTAAATCATGCCTGTTCAAGAGTCAGAAATGTAACCTGCCTTAAAGGTATGCTTCTTTTAATTTGAATTTAACTTTCTGTGAACCGAAGTACCTATAACTTAAAAATAAGCCACAGCTTCTGATGTTCCACAAATGAATGGCTTAACGTGAGATACAGATGTTCTACATTTAACAAATGATGGTCACAACAGTACACATGGTGAGCGCATGCAATGCTGGCTGAATGTTTCTTTGATAGCTGAGTTCGATGTTTTAAAACTACTCCCCTTCCTCAAGAAAGTAGATGGTTCAGTCTTAATTGTGCTTCTGTGCTCAATGGATAAGTTAACTTATCCCAAGTTACTGTTCAGACTCCTAGGTCTTTGTTTTTCAGAAATGCAAATCTGCCAACCTTTTTTCCAGCTGCCCATGAATATATACTTTTTATTTTAAGAAGATGAGCATCTGATGGACTTGTTGCGGTTTACAGTTGAGAGGTGTGGACGAACACCTGTCTAAATTGTGCTTTTCTGAAGGACAACAATTATCCTACAGTACTGTCTCCCAGGTGTTGTCAGACAATCTTGTCCAGATTCAGTGTTCTTCAGAATTGTGAAACAAAGAAATATGCTTTTAAGTGTGGGGGAAAAAGTTTAATGACAATATCATCTTTATCTTTTTTTTTTTCTCTCCTCTCCCTCTAGTATTCACTTAATGAAAGAAAGCTACTTGAAATGAGGACAGAAATAGTGGAATTGGTAAGAACTTGGTAGCTGATTATTACAATATTTTTGTACATGTTTTATAGACCTGATATTCTTTTTGGAATTGTTCATGTCTTTAGACAGTTTAATGTACAAAATATCATTGTGCTTTATTATTTCCCTGTATATTTTCATATTGGTACAGATAACTGAAGCGTCTACAGAATAAAAAGACTTTAGTATATAATATTAGACCTTCTGCATGTATATATAAACTGTTCAGTGATCTCTTTGTTTTGAAACTTCGTGCATGTAGTATTTTCTCTAGATGGAATTCTACTCTTAATGTTAGTATGTGAAATTAATTTTTCCCCCCTCGTGTTCAGTGAGACTGAAATGCATTGCTAGATTGATTTGGCTTCATTTCAGAAGACATTATTACCAAACACTTTCTCTTCCTTTTGTTTCCTTTCTGAAGTATAGAGAATTATCCCTAGAAAGATGTCTAGCTGTAAATCATTAACCAATTCACAATGTTTCAGTAGTGCTGATTAGAAAATATCAGCAACTTGGCAGCTGTTGTTCTCAGCTTACAAGTTTGATCTTTCAGTCTTTTCTGAGTAATAAATCTGTCTCATTTTTTTTGTCATAATCAGATTCTGTATTTGTCTGTAGCTCTTTTTGTGGTAGAATTCTTTACAACATGAGGACATGTTTTTTTACATCAGAAGACCAATTCTCGTTTTTTCTAACAATCTGTAAATCTTTATGGTCTGCTATGTTATTGTCACGAGAGGCTCTCAGACTTCTCAATAGCTCTTAAATTGAGCAGTGACTTTAACATTGGTGGGCCAAATGACAGATTGAAATTAATGTTTATGCTGCTAGATTGCAATAAGAAGGCATCCAGTTCTGCCACTTTCTAGGTTATGTGTTAAGGAACATGTGCTCATATAAGTTTCCCAAGTTTACCAAATTACTCAATTGCTTGGATATAATCAGCTAGGAAGGAACTTGTTCTCTTTGAATGCAAATTAATGTATATTTAAGGAGGAACCAAAAATGTGACTTAAAGGGATGGGTTAGATTTCTAAATAAACTGGAAACTGTTCAAATTGCATCATTTAGTTGCTTTGGTTTTTAGCATGCACAACAAGATCGAGCTCTGACCCAAACAGACAGAAAAATAGACACAGAAGTTGCAGATCTGAAAACAATGCTCGAATCGCACAAACTTGATAATATTAAGTACTTAGCAGGTAAGGAATCTGATGGTGAAACTGTTAAACATTGTTAAACGTTTGGCAAACTCTCGATTGACTGTATTCATAAAGTCCCTGATTAAAAAAAACAAAATACTTGAAATAGTCTCAGTCAAGATTAGCAGCCTTATTTGTGTACTTAACTGAGACAGCTTCATGATTCACCACTTTATTTTACATGGGCTATGGCTGTATGACTTTCTTCCCCTGCTTTATACTGTAATAGTAAGGTGTGTGAGAAATCTGAAAGACTGTTAACAAAAGCCAAAAAGTTCTTCTGTGCCTGAATTAATTTATAAAAGCAGCTTACTGCATGCATTTCTAAGATTTCTTCATCCGCCTGATGGAGATCTGTATACAAAATGGGACATTTCAGCTTTTCTGACTGTTCAGCACCACATATTCTTTAAACTTTCATTTTTCAGGCATGTGCATTAGAAAAATATCATATACCTACATTATTGCCCTAGGTAACTTTAATATTTTGACATTTTTCTGTTGAGTGTGCAGTGCTCTTAAATGAGCAGGTTTGCAGTAGAAAATTATTCTTTCACAATGGGTTTTGTCCCAAGTACAATCACTTATGTCTATTCACTATTGACTTTGTTTGTGTTGTAAATTAAAAACCTTATTTTCTTACCTGGGGTAGGGGTGGTGGTTACACTTTTAGTGTTGTAGTAAGACGTGTACATAGCTTTCTGAAGAAATGTCCTGAGAGCTAATGATTTATTCTCTCCATTTTCCTCCCTGTTTTTATTTTCTTTCAGGTTCAGTATTTACATGCCTTACTGTAGCACTGGGATTTTATCGTTTATGGATATAATAAAACATCAGTCTAAAGGGACTTCTACTCTCTTGGTTTCTGAAAAAAAAAAGATGTCTTATCTTTGCTTGGACTTTAACCAAGTCTTGACTGTTGGGTTGTTTTTTTTTTTTTGTAAAGCAGAATGTATTGCCAATTTAACCAAAGATGTGCCTAGAAACAAACTGTACACAAATCATGGATATTTTGAAACTTAGCTCTGATGAAAGCATGGTATATGCATTCTGCCGTTTCCCTCCATTCTGAACTGCAGTACACCTGGCTACTCCAAAGTGTCATGTAAGCAGAGTGGCATTTGTACCAATCGTATGGGGCTGCATACTGCGGAGAAGAATCTATGGAATTATGTTCCATTGCCTATTCAGATGTGCTTGCCAGAGTCAGTTGCATGTATCAGACCGAATTATTAATGTAAAACTGAAACTACACATTTTGTGGCTTGGAGGCACTCTTGCATAAGTAGAATTTGTGTTAACTGAATCAGGCTTACTTCCCTCTTCCTAACACTTGTTCATACAGTTGCTATGATCAAATCCTTGTTTTGCTATTCATACTGCATTATAGTTAGCAGCTTGTTTTCCAGATGGCTGTCATGTTTCATGAGTACTGTGTAATGATAGCAGTGTTTGCTGCTAGTTTCATTTATAATGTATTTGTAGAAGTTTTTCTGGCTAACTTTGATACCTACAAGTATCTGATACTCATTCCATATGCTAATTGTTAACTTTTCCACTGTAACAGAAAGTTTGAAATACAGTAAAATACACTAGTTGTATTAATTTACAGTTAAGTGATAGGAAGCGTCTCTGCTGCTGCCATCTTGATGGAAGGGAATCGATGCTTCTAGAAAGGACAGAAATTTTTAAATGGTGGTTATGAAGCAGTGCCTTAGGCGAGGGAACTGCAATACTGACAGTCTTCTGGGTTTTTTGTTATTTATTTATAAAAAAAAATCTAGTTGGTTTTTCAGATGTGGAACTTTTATAGTGATTATAATAATGAAAGCAGTAACAAAGACCTGCAAGCATGTTTAATCCAGTTCTTAGCAAGCCCATGTGAACCACTAAGTGCAACGGAAATGAAGGAAGGTGTCCAGTGTATCCAGGTATCTGTCGTTCTTCCACTGATGAAATGGCTGCTTTAGTAGCAGAGCCACTGTTTGTGTTCCTTCATTTAAGGGAAATTTCCCTTTCTTGCTTGCTTGTAGGAGGAGAGAACAATATATGCACTGGTAATAAATGCTGTTAGAGCACAATCATGCTTTGCTTAATGAAAGTGAAGCTGTTTGGCTACTTTGTGCCTGTACTGTAATAGCCATTTAACTTTTTTGGTGGTTAGGAGTGCCAGCTAAGATCATGAGCAAGCATGGAGGGAGAGGCAGATGCCTGTAACAATACTATACTGACTTGAAATAAAGAATTTTTAATATTTCATAGCATATTCTGAGTTTTCATTATAACTGCAAGTTTTTAATTTGAATTTAATCTCCTTGTTTGAAGGTAAGTTGCTGCTAGTAGGAATTATTTTAACTTAAGAATTAGCAAAGTCAGCAGCCCCTCACACACTGAAGAAGAGAGAACAGTCAACAATGTAAGGAAAACTACTATTGCAGCCTAACTTAACAGCCCGTCTAGGTTGAATGAATCTGTAATCAAGATCTTCACTTTTTTGTTTAAAAAATATCTTTTGTACTGTCTTAAAGGACTTGACACTTTCTCAAATTAGACAGGCAATAATTTAATGTTTGGAGTGACTTCAGTGTTGCTTCTTGTCTTCCCAGGACAGGTGATGCTATATTTGTCTATGGAAATCAGTACAGCTTTGCCTGGATGCCTGAGCATCTGATAAATGGTCATAGAATCATAGAATCATAGAATAGTTTGGGTTGGAAGGGACCTGAAAGATCATCTAGTTCCAACCCCCTGCCATGGACAGGGAA